GTTTTAGCACAGTACAAGAGCGAATAAGTCGTATTTGATTACCGAATAAATTACGTAATAACTTGCGTTTCCTGTTGACTACCTCCAACCACCATCTAAATATTCAACATTCTCTTACCACGTCTAAAAAGACTGGGAGTAATTGTTATGTTTTTATGCCCGGCTAGTTATCACATGATTTATTCGCCAATCGAAATACAACTTATACAATCTTATTACTGTGCCAAACCAATGACGTTCAACCGATATGAGCAACCTAGAGTCCTTATTGGTCCTTCGTCCTTTTAAACGTTTCAGTTTAGTCCAGAACGTCAATAGTAGCTTCTATTATACGAATCATTTGTTCCAAACATAATTGCATTATATACCAGCCAAATAGACCACATTACACCACAAATTAGGAAATAACATTTATACAAGATCAAGCCAAAAGGTGGCTGTGAACGTTGGTGACTGTAATCAATAAACTGAACATAACTTAATAATGGTAAATCGTATCATAATAGTCTATAGATCAAAATAAAGCTTATAATAATAGAAACATGAATATACATAATCTAGCTACTTAGTAGTTATACAATGAGATAATTACTTACTTACGCCTGTTACTCCTAATGGACCATAGGCCGCCAACCAGCATTCTCCAACCCACTGTGTCCTGGGCCTTCTTTTCGAATTCCATCCAATTCTTGTTCATTTTTCTCATGTCTATTTCCATTTCCCGGCGTAATGTGTTCTTTGGTCTTCCTCTTTTCCTTTGGCCTTCAGGATTAATGAGAGTATATATGTATATAATATTAATTCATTAATAGTTCTCAGAAGTTACCCGTAATTGATTCTTCACCAGGATATAATAGTAACCTTGATTTATTTTTTAACCTACAAAGTAACCGTAATAACCTTTCATAATTCTGAAATTTTCAGAACAGATAAAAGATATTACTTATGGATCAAGTGAAATTCACCGGTATCTTATGACATTAAAAAAAAGTTAAAAATATTTCTGTCAACTGGTTAAGAGTTCAAAGGTTTAGGATTTACACCAACTGGACATTTGATAAGTTTAGATATTAGTAAAATTTCACGTAATCGATATTAATGTAAAAGTATGTTTCAAGGTCTGACCTTAAACTACATGTTACAAACAAATCTCTGAACATCCTTTCATAGTTCTAAAAAGATTGATGTCCAGGTCCAAAATGTTTTTGGAATCAAAATGCCCTGATAATGCCGACTGTAAGGGAGAGTCAGCTATCACTGTCTAAATTATCTCACATGGTCACGTGTATACAACCACAGCTAGGGAAGTCCTATTCACTGCCTTCTCGCGGCAGGGGTGTTGTTTACATAATTGGGAGGACGAATAGCAAGTGTCCGGCGCTTTATCCGGGTTGATGGATATGGCGGATCCACCTAGGGCAGATGGAAAGCAGTGATTCTGAACCAATAGTGTACATGAGCTCCAGGATCCTGAGTAAACAAATTGTGTAATAACCAATTATTGGTCAGCGACTACCATTGGGAATGTATCTCCTCACGTTGCTCCACTGCCTTATGGATCAACCCTTTGGGTCGAAGGGTCCAGGTGTGGTCCCCTTAAGAATACCATTTGCTTCAGTTTGGGCACCCGGGCAGTCTCGCAGTCCACTCACAAATCAAGTGACTTATGTCGTGAATATGTATTTGGTGCCCCTTTATACCAATATTGATATGTTCAAATAAATAAAAATAAAGTCTAACATTCATTTTGAACTGTATTGGTTAATAATAATGGTCTCTTTGTTCGATACGAAATGTTTGGCTTTAGCGAACAATTCTCAACACAAACACAGTGTTGTAACGAAATTCCTGTTTTTTAAGTAGTTGACATGTGAACATTCAGAAAAAAATGTGTATGGAAGTTTATAAACGATGATTATCTGCCACTCTTATTCATCCCTAAAATGTTTACCATCCATCTTGCTTCTATCAAATCTCTTTACATTTTCTGATATATCTGATGTATAAATTTAGCTGTAATCGCCTTGTATTACTCCAGACAACAAAGGTAGAGGAAAATTAACGAATCATCGTGATACTTCTAATGTTGTTCACAGGTGGTGACAATCGAATGTATTTCAATACAAAATTACAGAATCATTTAGTAAAATCTGAGAACCATTCAGTGATTACTTCAATTGGAAAATGTCAATCAATCGTCTCAGACTTCAGTGTTCTTTCGTTTCCACACCAATCATTCTTTGTTCTGGTTCTGATTTCTTCGATCTTTTTAATTTTCTGCCACTAGGCATTTCACATTCGATTGATGATATTTACTACTTATATCTGTCGGCTATCATTAGCACACACCACACATGCACATAACGTTAATCAAAGCTATCTATACTTCACAAAATACCATTTCATTAACTTTTTTGTCTCTGTAACGTGTTGTAACAGCGCTAATTGTTATGCCATGAAAGGATTGTTAGTCGAGGACAAAGCAGTTTAGTAGTCTTCACATTGGTTACATTAAGCATGGTGGTGGTATGGATCTTTATACTCTATGATACCGTTATCTAACTTTTTAAGTAGATAGTTAAAAAATACTAATGAAATTCAAAAGGCAATAGCGAGGCAATAAGCACAGGATGTATGTATGCTAATAAGAGACTGATCAATTGCGGTCCTAAACGATGGGAAGATACAAGTAAAACAACACCAAGTTAATTTAAACTTCACCCTATTGCACAAACAGGCGACTAACAGGACTCAGTAGCTAAGTGGATAAAGCGGCGGATTTTGGAGCGAATGGTACTGAGTTCGTAGTCTCAGAGCGAATATTAACTTTGAGATGCCGGCACATCCAGTTGACGAGTCTCAAATAGGACGAAACGCGCATCGTGAATTCCACTGCTATTTACTATCCATCTTCGCTTCAGAAGTCTTTGTATTTTTCAACAAATTATATTTACTTTTTGAAGAGAAAACAAAATACACATCACCATAGTTGCACTTCTTAATTGAAATATGATGGCGTTACTTATAGGTTAAATTACTAGATTTACAACTATTATATCACAAGTTTGATCGCTCAGCTTGTATGAATAATCTTTAAGTTAGTCTTTGGGTATAAAGTTACGTATAGAAACTTGTGGTTGATTTCTAAGTTATATTATCTTAAAGAAAACTATACACAGTGATAAGTCCAAAACCATATGCATTTATTCATCCATAATCAACATAAATTCTTTATATTAAAATGCAGAGACTTGAGAAATCCATTTTAAAATTTCCACTTTTAGTATATCAACATTTCAAGTTATTTTAACAGTTGAATTCACGAATCGATCTAAGTTAGATCATCATTGAAAACCTGAGAGCATTAAACGGCCGATTCATCCTAATACAAAACTTCTCATCATTGAACATCCATGATGCTGCTGGAGTCTAAGACCTTCGGCCTAACCATTAGACAACTGGTGGTCTAGCTTCAATCGACTCATGATTTCAGCTATTGAAATTTTTAAAATCTCCACAAAATCCTCTACTGGTAAAGGTCATAACCAGAGTTTCATAACGTCTATTGATTTTTTAAATGGCAAATTTTATTCGTTTGTTTCTACATTTGCAGTCATTCTAAATTGTTAGATTGTTTTTCTTTCAATTTAGAGTTCATTAGTTCAACTGTTTAACGAACAAACAACATCTTTTCTAAACAATCAATATTGATTACCTTATCAAAAGATAAAATAACTAAACAATAAAACTTCTTACTTGGTATTATTTGTCTGTATCTTTCCATTGTTGTTTAAGACTGAAATTGATCAATCTCTTATTGGCATATGTACATCATCTGAGGATTGCTTCGATATTGCCTCAAGTCATAAGCTTTATATGTAAGGATGGATAGTGGTTAGCAGTAGGATTCAGGATGTGAGGTTTCGTCATATTTGGGACTCGTCAGCTTAACGTACATTCACCCCATTGCACAAACAGGTGGCTAACAGGACTCAATAGTTAAATGGATAACGGGATAGTATTTAGTCCTGGATTGAATATCAACTCTGAGATGCCAGTACATCCAGTTGACGAGTCCCAAACGGGATGAAACGCGCGTCCTGAATTCCACTGCTAGCCACAATCCATCTTTGCTTATAATCTAAACATGAGTTAAGAGATAATGTGCACAATTTAGGATACAATCAAAGATCAATTTATTATTCAAACTTTATGTAATGAGTAGTATATTAAGGTCATACTTTATCAGTAACCCATTTGGTGACAAAAAACTGTTGTTTTTTTAATTGGAGCTATTCAGTACCAATAGTGAATCCAACAGGATCTGTTTTGCATAAAATTATAATTGTACTACTGACTCTTTTCACATACAAGCATCCTTAAACCACAATCACTCTCAGACATGCTTGTTCTTTTCGCTGCAAAATGAAGCATTTATGTTTGTTTTTTTCTCTTTCCATTATTGCTCACATTCCCCTACATTATAATATTTTTCTTTACCCTGGATCAGAAAGGTAGGTCTAACACTTTTAATTGGTTATTTAACACTCTTATGCATCTATCTAATGTATCGATCAACTTCTTCATAAATATTTCATTTATCATTTTGTAAACAGTAGTATCGACCTACTCTAAGTTAACTTACATACAAACAGTGATATATTTTCTATACAATTTCTAAGATTATGTCTACCTATCTAAATGAATAGGGCATATTGAGTATAGGAATGATTACCCCAATGTTAATAACCAATCATATTATTGTTTGTTATCAAGTTTAGTATCTATGGCTAAAATAAGAAGAAAAAAAAACTCGTGTACTTATATTGAATTTTGTCGTTAAGTTGATAATACCAAAAGCATGAGTATAGAAAGGAAACCAACAGTATTCTACTGTTAAAACTATAGTAAACATAGTATAATTGTAAATTTTACATGCTTCATTACTATATCCTTTATAAAGACAAGAATATTCATATATATTTCATATTACATAATATATGTTCTGGAATTTATACGGTACTTTTACTTTAGTAATTACTTTATTCAGTAGTATAAAACATACATCTAATTCACCGTTACATTCAAGAGATTATGTGAATTCTATTGATCATTCTAAATTTGACAATATAAATAATGAAGATTTATTAGTACATGATGTATTACCTTATATTCCAACATCAGTTGAACCGTCGTCGTCGTCCTGGTCGTCATCATCGTTATTATTGCCGACAATAGGGTCAGTATCATCATCTATTTCATCAATACCAAATGAAGAAGAAATATTACGTTTACAATTAGCATTAGCTTTACAAATTGATTCAGAAGTGAATAAAGCAATTCATTTAGAGAATGCTGCTAGTGAATCAATTCAACAAGCTGATTTATTAAATAAAGCAGCTGATGAAGCTAAATATCGTGCTCAACTTGTTGGACAAATATTGAACTCATTAAAACAATCATGGAATACTACTAATAGTAATAATAATAATGACAATATCATTGATAATTTTTCAAATGATGATAACATTCATGAGAAGCGAGCATTTATAGAAGTGCCGAAAATAAATCAAGACTACTTACTTGATGAAGAAGTAGGCGGTCAAATCATTACTGATTATAATGATAACAATAGAGAAAAACGTAACCAAGACCATCGTGAACATCATCATCATCAGCAGCAGCAGCAGCATCAACGTTATGAGAATATGAAGAAAAAGAGAAATCTTTTCCCTGTACCTGATCCACATAATGAATTACATGTTCAACACTTATATGATTATCCTCTTCATGAATATATAGAAGATGATGATGATGATGATAATGATGGTGATGATGACGACGACAAGAATATGATACTAAATGATTCTGAACAAAATATTAAAAAACAATTAACTTTAGAAAAGATACGTTTATTAATTTTAAGACAATTAATAAAACAACAAAGGGAATCGAAAGAAAAAGAAAAAGAAAAAAAAGAAAAGAAAGATTATAGACAACATCATCTTTATCATTACGATCATTCTCGTGATAATAATCATAATGATTATTTACAACTTGATAAAAATGTCATCCCTTTACATATGATTAATCAATATCCAAATCTATATATTGATCGACGAATATGGAAAGAATTACATAATCAATATGACAATGATCCTATTGATGATAAACAGATCAATCTTGATATGAATAATAATGATAATAATAATAATAACGAAAAGGATCATTATGGAATAAAATATCATTTATGGAAAGGATCTCAATTAAATTCATTAGATAATGATGATTCAATAATATTTAAATAAGTCATTATCAAAGGAAAGAACCAAAGTAACATACATTGAAGAAAAGAAAGAAAAAAAGAAAGAAAGAAATGAAAATGAAAAAAAATTATTGAAAAAAAATATATAAATGTCTATGTTTACTAGTTCTATCTCTATAGTTACATCATAACTTGTTGTTTTATATAATAAGGTTGTGGTACTTTATATTCAAGGGTAAATGTGCTTATTAATAGGAACTATGTATATTCTATTGTAGACGTTTAGATGATAGACGAGACTATAATTTATAGAGGATGAACCAATCAGATTTAGGATAACAGGTCTTGGATTTTGGCGCGATATTCACTCATTCATTTGGATAAATAGAGTATTGCTATGATAGCTGATAACAGTTTGGGATGAAAACACTAAATCTAATTGTTAACCTTAACCAACAATTGTGAGTTATAATTCTTATTCGTCAAACTGCTTTATAACCCTTATTTAGCTTTAGTAAGTAGGTAGACACTCTCAAGGTTAGTTTAGCGTCGCTCAAAAGTCGTCGATAGATTCTAATCTCATTAGATGATCAAACCATTTGTTTTTGTTATAATGATCTAGAGCTGTGATTATTGACATATTCAAAGGATGTATTAATCTATATTCCATATTTAATTGGATTGAATTGAATCTAATGCTTGAATAGTATCTGACAATGACTCAGTTGTTAGATGGTTGGCAACATAATATATAATCCAAAGTTATCGTATATCTCAGTCAGATAGTTATTGTTAGATTATCTTGAGTTAACAGGATCTACATTACATACTCTGATACATATTGTATTACTGCGACATTAATGAATCATTGAAATGAATACGGATATGACGATGAAATATAAAATGTACTACAAGTCGATGAAGATTTTAAGATAAATCTTATTGTGTAATCAAGCTGTATTTACTATATTTCATGAATATTGAGAGATCATTTGAGTGTTGTTTGTACTACTAGAATCCTCTGTTGAAATACATATTCTAACCTCGGTGAGTATGGAAACATCAGTCACTATCTTATAGTGAGAAACTTGTTCCTTTATAATTATTCAAATCGTATTATCAACCCGATTTTTTTGAACTTCGAGAGACTATCTCTTCAACTGTTTTTTTTTCATTAATTATCTACATCAGGGGAGGTTTTGTGGATATTATAGTAATTTTAATAGTTGAAACCACCGTTGGGTGCCGGCTCAGTGGTCTAGTGGTTAAGCGCTCGTGCACGAGACTAATAGGTTCTGGGTTCTAATCTCGCGAGGTGGGATCGTGGATGCGCGCTGCTGAGGAGTCCCACGACAGGACGAAATGGCCGTCCATTGCTTCCGGATTTTCCATGGTGGTCTAGCTTCAATTGACTCATTGTCTCATTTATTGAAATTATCTACATGTTGAAGAAAATCTGTGGGTCATAAGAAACATTTTAAGTGTTGCTTTATCTGAATTAGGTGATTTGTGACTTTGTGTTGACGATATTTATGCATATGATAAAAGGCTTACTATTTCTACTATATTGTTGCGTAAATGCAAAATCATTTAAATGGAGTAAACAGTTTGTGGCTAGCATAGGATTTGCGAACTGGCGTCTCGTCCTTCTCAGGACTCATCAGCTGCATGTGTTTGCATCCAACGGTTTAGGCTCACACCAATAATCAAATCTCCTACATTTCATGACAGAAAGTAACGCATTATCTATTTAGCTATGAATTCTAGATATCTAGTAACTTGTTTCTGTATCGCCAACGTGATTTTTAATAAGTGTTTAAATGATCCCACTATTGACATTCTGAGTCGATGAGTCCCAAAAATAAAATGAAACGAGTAGTTAGGGTTCCAATCCCAACCACAATCTATCTCTTCTATATATGTGTGTCTTTACACATAATTTTGCTCTCATTTACAATGCTAATGAGAATGTATTCTGTTGATGAATAATTGTGAATAATACTATTATTAGTAGTAGGAAAGGGTGAAATCTATATGAAGACAATGGTGTACGGTGGCGCATTTTCGTGGATTGGTTGAAGTTAGACATCGACACCGCTGGATTTAGGCCAGCTCAGTAGTCTAATGGTTAAGCTCTCGCGCGCGAGACTGACAGGACCTGGGTTAGAACCTCTCGGGGAGGGGCGGGATCGTGGGCTCACGCTGCTGAGGAGTCTCATACTAGGACGAAACACGCTTCCAGTGCTTCCAGGTTTTCCATGGTGGTCTAGCTCCAACTGGCTCATGATTTCAACTGTTAAAATTTCTAAAATATCCACAAAACCCCTTCTGAATATATGAAAAACGTTTTGAATTGATGACGAGAATAATTATTTTAGATTCAAATGAAAGGGTCATTTGAAGATAGTTTGATTTATAGGTTATCACCAATCAAAGTAAACTAGTAGAAACTAGGAAGTATTCTAACTTTCCACTCTTCAGAAATATGCTCCACCAACGTTAAATCAAATTTTAAAAAATATACTGAGATTCTACAAGGAACACAATCTCCGCAACTTCTAAACTGATAATTACCATGTGCTCACTAGTGACTAGCTTCGTGAGAAAATTCTCGGAGTTCTGGTGAGAAGCCGTGACCAGTGGAGCTAAACCGTGTCGGGTAGAAACAGGTTTCTACCTCAGTACAATGGAAGATGGTCGCGCAACTTCGTGGATCGATTAAGGCTAGACATTAACACCATCGGATGCTGGCCCAGTGGTCCAGTAGGTTAAGGGTTCGCGCACGGGACTGAAGACCCTGGGTTCGAATCCCGCGAGCAGGATCGTGGATACTCACTGCTGAGGAGTCCCACAATAGGACGGACTGGCAGTCCAGTGCTTCCATGTTTTCAATGGTGGCCTAACATCAGACGGTTCGTGATCTCAATCAAAAACAATATTTCGAAATTGTTGAAGTGTAAGATACTTATACAAATGTTCAACTTCAATCGGTTCATGACCATTTGAATTTAGAACCATTATGTGAGTGGTATTATGAACTTTAAGATATACATGTGTCCTAGGTTCGATCATATATATGGTTAGAATAGTGTAAACCATTGAGGAGTTCTAAACAAAGAGTAAATAATGATCTAATGGCTCTCCCGATACCACATTTGATGAACAAAATCTGAAAGAGATGAAAGGTTCTGCGTATCTGGACAGCTGCATTATCCGGTGCAGATGTAAATTAGGGGATTGGCAGAGCAAGGACCGCATCCCTACAATTGAAGAATGTATGCAATTAAAAATTACTGTCTGTTAACCAATATCAAAATCAAAATATATAATACGAACGTCAAAACAGTCAGTTTTACTGTACGTAGCTGAAACGTGGAGAACTATGACAACCATCATCAAAAAGGTACAACTATTTATGAACAATTTTCTGCTCAAGATACCGAATATCTTTTCTTGGTCGGATACCATCAGCAACAGCCTACTGTGTGAGATAACAAACCAGCTTCCAGATAAGGAAGATACTATGGAGTTAGTGAATAGGACATACATTGCGAAAATCAACAAACTGTATCCTAAAAGAAAAGAAAAAAGAGGAAGCCCAAAGAATACATTGCGCAAAAGAATTAAAATCAGATATGAAAAAGAGAATGAGCAATTAAAAACAACTGTAAAGGATTATTCAGGACAGAATTCGATGTAGAATATTAAAGACTATCCTATGCTATTCGATGAGGGGTGATAGGCGTAAGTAAGTAAGTAAGTAAGTAAGTAAGTAAGTAAGTAAGTAAGTAAGTAAGTAAGTAAGTAAGTAAGTAAGTAAGTAAGTAAGTAAGTAAGTAAGTAAGTAAGTAAGTAAGTAAGTAAGTAAGTAAGTAAGTAAGTAAGTAAGTAAGTAAGTAAGTAAGTAAGTAAGTAAGTAAGTAAGTAAGTAAGTAAGTAAGTAAGTAAGTAAGTAAGTAAGTAAGTAAGTAAGTAAGTAAGTAAGTAAGTAAGTAAGTAAGTAAGTAAGTAAGTAAGTAAGTAAGTAAGTAAGTAAGTAAGTAAGTAAGTAAGTAAGTAAGTAAGTAAGTAAGTAAGTAAGTAAGTAAGTAAGTAAGTAAGTAAGTAAGTAAGTAAGTAAGTAAGTAAGTAAGTAAGTAAGTAAGTAAGTAAGTAAGTAAGTAAGTAAGTAAGTAAGTAAGTAAGTAAGTAAGTAAGTAAGTAAGTAAGTAAGTAAGTAAGTAAGTAAGTAAGTAAGTAAGTAAGTAAGTAAGTAAGTAAGTAAGTAAGTAAGTAAGTAAGTAAGTAAGTAAGTAAGTAAGTAAGTAAGTAAGTAAGTAAGTAAGTAAGTAAGTAAGTAAGTAAGTAAGTAAGTAAGTAAGTAAGTAAGTAAGTAAGTAAGTAAGTAAGTAAGTAAGTAAGTAAGTAAGTAAGTAAGTAAGTAAGTAAGTAAGTAAGTAAGTAAGTAAGTAAGTAAGTAAGTAAGTAAGTAAGTAAGTAAGTAAGTAAGTAAGTAAGTAAGTAAGTAAGTAAGTAAGTAAGTAAGTAAGTAAGTAAGTAAGTAAGTAAGTAAGCTCTCCTGATGACCATAATGCCTAATGTAAACTATCCTCAAGTTATTTTATAAGCAAAGATGGATAGTGGCTAACAGTGGAATCCAGGATGTGCGTTTCGTCCTGTTTAGCCCTCGTCAAGTTAATTTATCAAAATGAATTGTGTTTTAATGTAAATTTATCAATTTAATTTCAATCAGAATACGTGATTTTTTTTTCAAATAAACTAACCCTTATGATTTATTCTATTTAAAATAAATTTGCATAAAAATAATGTGCTTTTTTCTGTTTTTTTTTCTCTTTTATTTCAACTACATAATTCATTCAATAAACAATCATCCACCCCCTTCCCATCGTGCG